CCGCGGGGCTGCTGCTGCCCCGACCGCCACCCCCCTGCGTGGGGCGGCTGCTCTTAGAAATCCCCACCCACCTAGCGGACAGGACGGCGGAGTCCTGCACGACGCACAGGGCGCTCGCTGCCTTTTATTAAAAGTCAGATATTTGGTTCACCGGGGGCTTTTTCTGGCCTCGCTTTTGATCTTTAAAAGCACTGCGTAAAAATGTAACTGACTAGCCGGCGCTCCGGGAGGCTGAGGCAGGAGGGTCATGAGTTCAAGCCCAGCCGGGGCAGCTCAGTAGCTTAGCGAGACCCTGTTTCAAAATGAAAAATAAGAAGAGGCCGGGGGTGTAACCTACTGTCGGAGGCTCTGGTCCGTCCGCCGGAAAGAAAAACACAGGGTAATTTATGGTGGGCACCGAGGTTTGGGGGCCCTTAAATACCATGCAAGACCAAAGCTGATTTTATTTGCTTGTTTGTTTGTGTGTTTGTTTGCGGTACCGGGAATCGAACTCAGGACCTTGTGCCTGCGAGGCGGGGTGTGTGCCACTGAGCTACGACCCCCACCAAAGTTGACTTCTTCAGCGCAGACGTGGGGATGGGAAACCTATTTCTGAGGCTTGGGGAAATTAGACGAACTGAAGTTTCAGTTTTTACCCATCGGGGAAGAAAGAAAGCCCTTGTTCCCGGGTTAAGGAAAACTAAGTGGGACCGTGCCTCGCCCCGTGTCTGCCTCGTACAGGAGGAGAAAAAGGAAACTCGAAGCTTCAGGCTCCTCGGTAAGAGCGGCGACAGACCCCACAGAACCTGGCCTGGGTCCCTCACGACACACAGCTGAGATTATTCCCCACCGCCTGGGCCAGAACCTCCCTACTCCTGGCCTTCGGCGCACCTTGCTCTCATTCATAAACACCACGCGGTCACAGTCTTGTATGCAGGTCCCGGGGACACCGCGACAAAACACAAAGCTGGGTGGCTTGAAAATGCAGGGATGCAGGGCTATGTTCCCTCTGACCTCCAGAGCCCAGCAGGCTGGGACTGAGGCGCCCCAGGCCCACACTCCCTCCACAGGTTCCAGGGAGACCCTCCTGCCTCTGCCTCCTCCCGGGGCTCCAGGCGGCCCTGGGCTATGGCCCCACCGCTCCAGTCTCTGCCTCTGCTGTCACCCAACGCTTTCTCATATATGTTTCCGCGTCTCGTTTTTCCTTTTTCTCACAAGGGTCACTGGATTCTGAACACACGCGCTCCGAGGCCGGCGCTCTTAGCTAAGTCGGCGATGCCGTGGTGCACTAGTCACAGACCTTACGGGGTGAGAGGAACCAGAGAGCGGAGGAAACCGCGCTGAACCCGCGGGGGTCCCCACAGGCCCCCTGCACGGCACCTGGAGCGCTGCTTCCCCCACGGAAACGAGTCTCCCACGCCGCCTCACCTGCCTGGAAAACCAGCTGTCCCTCCGTGGGCGCCGGGAAGTGAGTCTCTGCCGTGCCCACGACTTCCGGGGTGTCAAACACCGTGACCTTCGCCGCAGGGTACAGGGAGGCGCACACCCTGGCCAGGGCCCCGGAGCCTCCTAGAATGGGACACAGAACGTGGAACTCTCAGAGTGGAGGCTGTGAGATGGAGGAGGAGATGGAGGAGGAGGTGGAGGAGGAGGAGATGGAGGAGGAGGAGGAGATGGAGGAGATGGAGGAGGAGGAGGAGGAGGTGGAGGAGGAGCAGGAGATGGAGGAGCTGGAGGGGCAGAAGGCAAAGAAAAAGCCGAAATTATGGGCATTGAGCGCCAGGGGGCTGTGCCCAGCCCCCAGGAGAGGGTGG